CCCATGTTGCAGCTACTACTACTACACCCATTTCGTCCTCTGGGCAGACCCTTACAATTTCTGCAGATGAATTTGCCAAATTTACTCAGTACTAAGAAGCATTGAAGAATTCATCTCATCCAATTTCTGCCATTTCTGAGACAGGTAAACCTAATACATGTCTTCTCTCATCTTTCTCAAAACGAGTCATTGATTCTGGTGCCACAGATCATATGACAGGTAATCCTAGTCTCTTCTCCACTTTTTAGTCGTATACATCTCCTTCCAATGTTACTTTAGCTGATGGTTCTACATCTTCTGTTCTCGGCTCTGGCACTATTAATCCAACTCCATTAATTTCTTTAGCATCTGTCTTAAGTCTATCACAATTCTCTTTTAATCTAATGTCTGTGAGCAAGCTTACCCGGACTTTAAATTGTTGTGTCTCATTTTTTCCTGATTATTGTCTTTTTCAGGATCTCATGACGAAGGAGATTATTGTTAAAGGACAAGAATCAGGAGGTCTCTATATTCTGGATACCCAGGTGCCCAAGTCCATTGTGTGTTCAGGCATCTTAACTCCTTTTGAAGCACATTGTCCTTTGGGACATCCATCTTTATCTTTGTTGAAGAAATTATGTCTTCAATTTCAGAATGTGTCGTCTTTAGATTGTGAGTCGTGTCAATTTGCAAAACATCATCGTTTGTCATCAGTTCCTCGAGTCAATAAAAGAGCTAGTTTTCCTTTTGAATTAGTTCATTCAGATGTTTGGGATCTTTGTCCTGTCGTGTCCAAAACTGAATTTCGGTATCTTGTTACCTTTGTTGATGATTTTTCTCGTGTGACTTGACTTTATTTAATGAAGAATCGTTCTGAATTATTTTCTCATTTTAGTGCCTTCTGTACTGAAATTTGAACTCAGTTTAATGTATCTGTACAGACATTGAGAAGTGATAATGCTAAAGAATATTTTTCTGATTCTTTTCAAACTTACATGCTTTAAAATGGTGTTCTTCATCAATTCTTGTGTGTTGACACCCCCTCTCAGAATGGTGTGATTGAAAGAAAAAATAGATATCTTCTTGAGACAGTTAGGGCACTCGTGTTCCAAATGCATGTTCCTAAACAATTTTGGGCTGATGCAGTGTCTACAGCCTGTTTTTAAATTAATCGGATGCCCTCATCCGTTTTTCATGATACGACTCCTTACAATGTACTTTTCCCTACTAAACCCCTATTTCCCATTAAACCTAGGATATTTGGTAGTACATGTTATGCTCATGATTTTCGTCCCCAGGTAACTAAGTTAGATCCCAAATCCTTAAAATATATTTTTTTGGGTTACTCTCGTCTACAAAAAGAGTATCGTTGCTATTGTCCAAATATTAACAAATATCTTGATTTGTTGGTTTATCATATCATTTACCAGTCAACTAATGTTACCTCTTCGCCTACTACTCCCACACCACTACCACCACTGCCTATTCGCCACGTGTATTCCAGACGACGAAACACACTTGATGCATGTTCAGTACCTGCCGCTTCTTGGGCATTGGATCCAATGTCAAGTGATCTTAATCTACCTATTGCTCTACGTAAAGGTAAACGTCAATATACTTACCCTATTTCCTTTTTTGTGTCTTATGATCACTTGTCTCCATCTTCTTGTTCTTTTGTTGCTTCCCTTGATTCTGTGACTCTTCCGAAAACTGTTCATGAAGCCTTATCCAATCTTGGTTGGCGTGAAGCTATGATTGAGGAGATGAATGCTTTGGATGCTAATGGTACTTGGGATTTAGTGGATTTACCTGCAAAAAAAAAAGGTTATTGGATGTAAATGGGTATTTGCACTCAAAGTCAATCCTGATGGATCGGTAGCTAGACTTAAAGCCGTCTTGTTGCTAAAGACTATGCTCAGATTTATGGTGTGGACTATCCTGACACTTTCTCTCCAATCGCTAAGTTAACGTCTGTTCGCTTATTCATTTTTATGGTAGCTGCTCATGATTGGCCTTTACATTAGTTGCTCAGGGGGAGTATGGGAATGTGTGTCACCTTCGAAAATCCTTATATGGCTTGAAACAAAGTCCACGTGCTTGGTTTGA